TCCAGAGGACGCTACCCTGCAAAGACTCCTAATGGTTACTGCTAGGAGTCAGTGCACGATGATGTATTTATGTTTCACCTGGAGTCCAGTTATCAAGGCTGAACGTTTGGACATTAGACCAAATTTTGGTCTGTTTCCAGCCGTATCTATGACACCCAGTAGAACAGTTAGTTCTCAGCCAGCTGGAGATTGAGTTTAAACTCAGATTGTTGATGGGAGAGATTTGCATTTTGCTACAGAACAAAAAAAGTCCCTAATTTCTTATTTTATTTATTTAAAAAGTACCTCCCAAATGTTTGATCTTTCTTGCAGTGTTCTTACCTGCCTTTCAGCAAGGCATGTCCTTCTTTTCTACAGAGTGGCGACTTTTATAGGCTTTTCTCACTCCCAAAGATGTTAATGTAGAGCTCTAATGTGAAATACTTAATGGTATTTGACGGGAAGTTCAGGGACTGACATGGTCTTATAACTTGTACATAAAGAAACATGGCTTTAAGGAGTGATCGTAGAGTTGATTTGGATTTTTTTACTTTTCACATCACAGTTTAACCCTTTCATGCAGTGAAAAAGGATTAAAAATCAATGTTTCCTATATGTGGATTATATAATTTTCACCTGACTTCATTGGACAACTGTGAAATATTGGAAAACTTGTTTTATATATATATATAATTTTTTTTTTTATTGTTGTGAGTCATTCTGGATAAAGCAGGAAGAACTGCATCACATAGATCTTCTGTAACCTTTTAAATCCAAGGAGCCATTTTACTCTAAGACCAGCTATATAAAAGTATTTCAGAGTGGCTAATACCACATGACATTTCAATAAATGACAATTTATTTCTTTAAAGTATCTGCAATGGAAATTCTAGCCATTTTAAAAAATAAAACTTTATTTTTATATTTTTAAGCCTTAAACACAAAGTGTGTTATTTGAGTTTTTGAGACTTACATCACTGGTGGGAGAGTTGTGTTTTTGAAAATCCTGATTTCAAAATAATATAGATTTCCTGAACCGGAAATCTATATTAAATCACACAGAATATAATATAGATTGAACTGAATTTAATATAATACAGAAATGCCTAAAGCATCACAATTCATACACATAATTTGATTTCAATTATTCCAAAACTTATATTTTTTTCTTAATGTTTTTTGACGACTAGTTTCAAAAGATGTGAAGTTTATGAAAATTCATTCATGGGCTTTAAAGGGTTAAATTAAAGACAAAAAAGTTTAATTAAGAAACATAGATTTCCTTCTATAGGATATTGTTTTATGTGGAAAATAAAAACATAAATTTTTTAAGCTAATAACAAAAAGTATAGATGAAATGACATATTTCTGGTTCTTTAATGTTATTATGACCTCTTTCGTAGTTTTTTTTGTGTGGAGAATTTACTTTAAGGAGGGATATTTTGTGCTTAGTTAATCCTCTTGGCTGTAAACTCTGCTATTCCTGTGAATAACAGAGGAAAAATTAGATGTTCTAAATAGATTTTGACATCTTTTTCTTCTCCATGTCTGGGAACACAGTCAATGATCAGGGTTATAGAGTTAAATCTAGTCTGTGTTTTTTTTTATAGCTACATCTAGTCTTTTTATGAGAGCTTTTCCCATTTTGGGGCCAAAAACACTGATTCATGTCTACTCTGCATGGAGCTAGAAGAAGTGCTGACCCAGTCACTCACTAATAATGTGGGCTTCGCAGCAGTAATCAATAAATCAACTTTATTGTCAACTGCAATTTACATTGCAATCGAGATTTCAGTTTCAGTACAAACCGTTCATCACAATACATCACATGCATTGGTAGTAGTACGATGTGGTCATATAAAGCAATGGTTCCGCAGCTTTTTGGACTTGTGTACCCCTTTGGACATTTTTTCTCACCATGAGTTCCCCTCTCTGTCAAAAGTATTGATGACTGTCCGAAAGTCGAACATTCATTTAATCTTGTAACTTAGTTCATTGAATTCTTTGGCATTTTATTCTTTCCAAGTCATTAAAAAACCTACAGAAATATGTTGACCGCAAGATAGTAAGGAATAAAAATTAATACAAAATAATATATTATAAATCTGCCTTTAGGTCATCAGAGTAACACCCTTTTAATTACATTTAAATTTGATGAATTTGGAACAAAATACAGAAAAAAAGATTATAGTCACACTATAGTCACTATTTATTTTACGTTGGTTTCATCATTCATGACATCTGAGCTGCTTTGCAGCTCTGCAGCTTTTTGGTTTGGACGTGGCAAAGCTGAAGGTGAATTCAAACATATTAGAAAAATGACTTTTGGTTGATAAAAGCTTGTTTTATTTTTCAGATGGGCCTTCAAAACACAAAACAGATTTTATTTTACCCCTTGCAATGCACTTGCAGGCCACTAGGGGTATGAGTATCCCTGGTTGGGAATCCCTGAAATAAAGTAGCAGTCAGCACCTAGTGAAAGGTTTCTTTAATTACTTAAAAGTAGAAACTAAAAACTATTATTTTATACATATATTTTTATTCTTCAGGGAAGTTGGTTGCATTTATTTTCATAAATTATTTATTATCTATCCGTCTATTGATTATACCCACTTATCCCCTCAGGATTGTACTATTATTTCTAAACGAGGTCTGCAGTCATAGGTTTGTTTTTCCACAATATGCCAAAAATAATATGCTTGACATTTCTTTGCACCGACCTTTTGTGTTCCTTGGAAAGACACATTCCCAGCATTTTTTTTCTTCTGAAAGCTGCACCAGGGCAAAGGTAACTGGATTCAAAGATTTCATTGGAAATTCTGCAGTAAATGTTTAACGGATCAAACTGTCTGAAGTTTTGCATTATTGTGGAGTAATGCAGATAATGAGTCCGCCCACCTTAAAAATTTAAGTCAATCTGTCATTAGAGTGATTCAGCATAACACACACAAAGAAAGAAACTGTAAATAAAAAAAGCAGGAAATCCCCCAAATATGTGTGTAAAAAGAGTTTGAAAAAGAGACCAACCAGGAATACCATGCATAGGTCTGTGTTTAATATAGGCCGTAATAGAAAAGTACATTTAGTTATTTTATAGTCTTTAATAGTCTTTCCTTTCCTTTTATTTTATTCTTTATTTTTATTTATGTTTTTTGCTTTACTCTGCAGTTTTCCCTTCATGCCACTTAAAAACTTTTTATTTGATTATTTTAGGCTTTAGAATGTTTTAAACGCATCTTGGGGTCAGTTCCTTTGAATCCGTGGACAATAATTAATTAAACTCACAAGAAAACAGTTGTTATTCCTTTTTGACATTTTTTACAGTTAGAAAAATCTCTGCATTGCCCCTTTTTTCTGTTTATCAGCTTTGATGATCATTTTCCCAGGAACAATTCAAGTTCCAGATACCCTCCCTGCATCAACCCATTTGGTAATTTTCAAAACGGCAGTGAAAATAGTGATCTAATAGAGTAAAAAATTGATGAGCAGATTACATTTTTAAAACAGTCTTTCTAATTATAGTGGTGCTTAATGTCTTACGATTAAACAATCCTGTAACTAAGTTAGAGTTTTGCAATTCCAGAGTTTCAGAAGTTGAGCCTCTAACATGAAAAGTAAGATTCACTATTGCTGGCATCTTTAATTCAACATGGCTGCCTCAGATCAAACATTTTTTTAATAAAGCATTTATGTCTTACATAAAGTGTTGTGAAATAGTATTTTCCCACTAACCTAAAAAAAAGCAAAACAAATCTGATGGTCTGAAAAATGATATGATTCTTAACCAAACCAAAAGAAATAAATGAATAAGAAAATCAACTCTGCGTGAGGGAATATTTCCAGTCCAGTTTTAATAAGGAAACATTCTGTTTTGGAACATCAACAACCTTTTTAATGTGAGGCAACATCTGTTTAACCAGATTTGCATCACAAATTTAAAGTAGATTATCTTTTACATTCATTTTGTTTTTCCTTTTTCATTCAGTGCTTAAACCTTCTGGTGTGTTTTGAATCATTTTCACAAGTGTGCTGAAGCATAAGGTCTAAAAATGTTGCTTAAACACTGTCCTTCCAATTTTATTCCTAGAGAGCAGAATTCACGGTTCAGTGAATAACTGTGACTCATCCAGGTGAAGGACCTAAGCATGACTCTACTACCACCATGTTGCAACACAATGTTCTTTTTCCTCAAAGGCTGCAATAGTTTTATGCCTGATAGTTACATTAACGCATCATTCAGCAAAATCTGCTGATTTTTTCAACTGTCTGCTTTGCTGGGGAGATACTGGCTTCTGGAATATATATTTAATAAGAAAAAAAATAATGTGTTCAATACTATCCTTTCCCACTAGATCCTACACCAGTTTGGCTAATAACCAAATAATTTTAAATGTTTGATTCATTAAAAATTGGTGATTGTGTGAAAGTTTAAAGTGAGTTTTTGGACAGCCCAAAACAACCTTCAAATTAATATTTATAAGGAATCTGATGCTCAAACAACTTTAAATATTCAATTATGCTGTAATTACAACATCAAAAAGGAGCCAAAGGAATTTTATCTGCTAAAACTGATGTAATCCAGCTTTAGCGGTACAATAGATGAACAGTCTAAAGGCTAATCTATGATGGCTGGATTTAAAATAAACACCTTATAATCGCTCTAATGTGAGCGTCTACCTCATGTTGTGAGTTACATCCAAAGATAGGAACAAGACTTTGTGTAAGAAGCAACAAGTAATACTTTATTGAAATCTCACATAAAAAAAAACATATTCTATTATCAGACAATTAAATTAAATTACAAATAAAATCAGTGTTTTGTTTTAAAAAGCTACATATTTGCTTTATGTAATGTTTGTAAAAAAAAAAAAAAAAAAAAGGTCAAAGAAAAGGTAAAATTCAGACAATGATATGATTAAATAAGAGATGTTATACAACAAACAAGCGTATAATAATATGGCTCATGGCTGCAGGTATTATCCGCTTTCATTTTTATATAAAAAGATATATATTTGCTTTAGTAATGTTTGTAAAAAAAAAAAAAAAAGGTCAAAGAAAAGGTAAAATTCAGACAATGATATGATTAAATAAGAGATGTTATACAACAAACAAGCGTATAATAATATGGCTCATGGCTGCAGGTATTATCCGCTTTCATTTTAGCGTTTTCTAGAAGTGCTGCTTAATCCTCATGGCTTCTTTTTGGGAAGGACTCCCTTCTTCTTCGTCTTCCTCTCAAGAACAAACTGGACCAGCTTCTTCACCCAGGCCGCCCGAGGATTGAGACAGACCTCCCCGCTCACCAGACCGGCTCTGATTCAACAGATTTATAACAAGGACATTTTAATCCCAGATTTAATCAGTAAAAAATAAAAAAGGAAGTATCACAGACTCCAAATATTTATATAATATGTAGAAAAGTTTACAGGTTTTCTATCCAATGGAAAATACATCTGTTCATATCAGATGATATCTGACATATACTGGGCTGACGATTTACTCTCACTGGAAAACGGTTTTGAAACACCCACTAGCTTTGATCAGATTTCAAAAGTGACTAAGCAGAAAAAACTTTAACAGTAAGACGTAGGCGGATGTATTTCCCAATAATGGCCAGTCAGGATACATCAAAACATTATTTTGAATAGTTTTATAAATAGAATCCAGACTAACATGTGAGTCACATCTAATCTCATCATCATTATGCATTTAACGAAGCATCGTTATCTTTATACCTGAGTCACTCTGTGACATTTCCTGTTTTAAATGTATACGTCTCTTTCTTTTTTTCTCTGGTACTTAACAACTGTCGTTTTCTCCAGGGTATTAATATGATGACAAAGACGACCGTTTGCCTTCTTCCTATTAAAGTGGATTAGAACCCATATTGACCTGAGAATGGCAGCACAGAGTGGCACATCCACAGAGGATCCATAATATCCAGTGTATATGATAGACAAATTAATTTTTTAATGTTTTTTTCCTACTATAACAAAATAAAAATATGGAGTTTGCTAAACAGTCAGATTAGAATTAGATCAAGCTTTTCAGCAACCATGAACAAACAATGAACAGATGGAAAAAGCAGCTCATTCCCTTTGTTACGTACGGTGGAGGATCAGTGATGCTTTGGGCCTTTTTCTAGTCCACTCTTAAACTACAGGATACTGCTAGCAAACTGATGGAACTGTCAGTTACCATTTGGTCTTTAATGAGAGTAAAGGACTGAAATATATCTACACATAAGAAAGGTATGCAAATCCTCGGTAAGAATTGTCCATTTGGCAATACGAGGTTGACAAAACTATTATCAGTGATACTAATTATTGTAGCAATGGGTAATTTGAATTTAAACAGGTGTATAATAAGGGACTGTTTCCCCACAGAGCAAATCTAATCAAAATCATGGTAGCCTTTTTTATTTAGAAATATCCTTGCAACATCAAATATAATTTGTAGACCTTTTAAATGATTTCATCATAATAAAATTTTTAACTGTGGGATAAAGAAGCTGATAAGATAATTGCGGTCTCAAAGATCCATGGTTCTTTATTTGTTTTATCAGTGAGTGTTCTCCTGCTTATGGTCACTTTGTTTTGGAGCAATTAATTATTTCCTGATAAAAAAAAAAAAAAAAAAAAAAGGAAAACATTGTGGCTAAACAAGGCCTACTAGAGGGTTCTGCAACATTTTCAATCCAATTAAAAAAGCTATTTTTGACTTCAGTCCAGCCAATAAAACATTTTTAGAGTTGCAAACAACACATGACCTTTTTTTAAAAAAACAAAAAGATAACGTACATATTGCATAAATATCTAGCACAGAAGACTTTGTCCTTCCTAAATAACCACTGTGTCATTTCAAATATTTAGGTTTAAAGATGAAAAAGAGATTAAATACATTTTCAATGGTTTGCTGAAATTTGTTGAAAATTATGTTAAAAATGAAGATTTACCATTTTATAAAAGATTGAAAATTAGATTTCCGTTATATTAACAGTCAATTCATGTTGGAAATTCAATGCAGTTAGTGGAAAAACACTACAACATGCGTTTGTTATTGGATAGGATAGCTGGTTCTTTATAATTTTAAGCAAAAGTGGCTGAAAGCCATTTTTAAGTAGCTAAAGAGCCAGCTTTGGCTCTGGAGCCATGGGTGGCAGATTACTGGTCTATTAGGAGCCCCCGTCTGCTTGAGTTTTTTCATTCCACCATCGCCTCATGCTTGCTCATGATGAAGACTTCTATAACAGAAGAGGCTGTGAATTGTACTTCGTTGACTAGATAAAGTATGGCAAATGTGCCTGAAACTTAATTTGGAAAAATAAATGTAAGCTTACTTGACTGGATTTTTTTTTTTTTTAAATGTCTGTTGTTATAGTTGACATATCTGGATTTATCTGTTTTAATATAAATATGAAGGCTCTTCCAGTATAAACCAATCTTTTTTGTGTTTTTGTCGCATTTGTATTGGGAAAAAACAAACAAAGATTTAATTTCTAACACCAAAATGACTAAAACAAATCACAAGTTGTCTAACATTTTGACCCTAATTTACTCACATGACTTCAGTTTCAGCACAGCTGGGCCCTGCTGGGATCAATTTAATGCTCTTCAGGTTTTCTGGAGGGATGATCCTCGACTCGACCTGCATGCACCGACAGTGCGTGTTGAGGTCCCTGCTGATCGGTGGCATTCCTGACATTAAGACAGAAAACAGATTTTTAGCAAAGCTAAAGTCTCAACTGAAAGGGTTTTATTATCAACAGGTCATGTACATGTTTTTTAGCTTCAGGATGATTTGCAGAAATGAGTTTGTAGAACTACCTGAAAAACAGCTGCTGCACAAACTTGCAGAAGTTCGAAAAATTAATAAATAAAAAAAAACAGACCCTCTTTGACCATTTTCTTTAACATTTTAACACATTAAAAATACTAACTGTAAAGTACAGTATCTGTGTTTTATGTTACTGGCACAGTGAAGTAAAGCAGAAAAAAAAGATAAATAATTACGTCCTATGGAGGAGAGTCAATGCATTTTGTGTTTTTCCTCATTTCAAAACCTAAATATACAAAAAATTATTTAGCAAAATTTATAACTTTTATTAAAAGGTCATCTTAAATCTGCGGCTTCAAACCGCTTTTATTTTGGCGAAATGGGTCTTTAGATTTTAAAAAGCTGCAGATCCCTGATCTAAAGCAATCCTTTCTAACTCTGGCTGTATGTCTAGTCTAATCCTGCTTGAATTATCTTGTGCTTCTTCATGGAATGCTCAGTCCATCTGCACTGAGGAAAAGCATCCCCATACCATGATGCTGCCACCACCTTGTTTTAGAGTGGATGGTACTGCCAGACCAATTTACACCAAGCAGCCTTTTGCATCTAGATCTGAACATTTTGTTTGTGTCATCCAATCAGAGCTCCTTCTTCTTATTGGTTTCCTTTAAACAACTGATGACCCCCTGTATCTCTTCTATAAAGACAGGTTTTATGTTTTGGTTGTGAAATAAAAAATGTTGAAATGTTTATGGCTTACGAAAATGTCTTCGAGGCATCATATCAATTTCTTTTTGACATTTCTAGTTTGATCCCTCCTCAGTACTATTAGAGTTTTGGCTTGTTTTGGCTGCTAACCAAACCAGATTCATAAATCAAACCTTTTTGATGTTCTGTTTAACCGGCATTTACGATCAAATGGAGCCTCTTGTGAAATCCTCTGCTTCTGCTTTACCTACTTCAGCTGTTTTCCTGCTAGTTTACAACTTCAATACTAACATGCACGATGAAGCAACAGTTTCCCTGTAAGTGCACACTTGTTTCAGGAAGCAGAGGTGCCACGTGAGAAACACCAGGGTGCTTTATTTTACTAATGATAGAATGTGACTCAAACACACAAACAGTCAGATATGCATGAAGGTAATCTGAAGGTTTGAGTTTTATTCAAAAATATTCTTTGATCGCAAGACTTTATAGGATTTTTTTTGTGTGTAAGATCATTTTAAATTCATGAAATTGTCATTTTATTGTATTTTGCTGATATGTGCTGACAGGATATTTTTTCTTAAAAATTGTAACTATCACATTTGATTAGGGAAACACTTAAAAATGGAGTGAAAATTTCCTTTTAAAAATTCCTTTAGAGCTATTATACTGTATTAGCAGTTACTCAATAGTTGACCAGAAGTCCAAAAACTGATCAAATTTGTTTCTAAATATTTAAAGCAAACTGAAGTGTTTCCAGCTTGCTGGTTGTTTAATTTCCAGATAAGCGCAGGATTTATTATGGTAAATAGCTCTTCATGTAGTCATAAATTTAGACCCCCTAAATCAACCAGACAGATCCAGCTCCTTGGTTTCCCCCAAAGTCGTCCTAATTCTAGATGTTACATCATTGAGTTTGTAGCTCTTACCGTCAGTGATTGCCACCAGGATTCCGAGCACAAACAGCATACAGAGCTTCATCTTGTCTCACCGGATGCTTATTGGGTTCTCTGCCAAAGACAAACAGATAAACTATTTCTACTGCAAACCCTTCCTCAGTACTGGAATATTTATACTAATAGTGGTCATGTGCTCATCTTGAAATTAGAGCAATACCCAGAATGGTGTATGTGTGTGGTTTCACTTTGGTTCGTTCACATGTGCAGCAGTAGGGAGTCATGGGACGAAGGGGGGAGTTCAGAGAACGACTGAAGGCCCTGCTGAGGTTAAGACACAGCGTGCCTGCGGCCAACGGGTGCAGAAATGAGTCAGACAGATTGTTAATGTTTATGATGCCAAACGGGCTGCTGCTCCTCTACTCTAATCTGCTTGTCATGGATCTGGGGAAGAACTTGACTCTATTTGCCCCACGTCAGATTTCAAATGATCATAAGGTGCAGTTTTGTAAAAACATCTTGTTTTTTTTTGCTACCACTGTATGAAACTGAAGTGCTGTTGATGCTGGAGGGTGTTTTATTTTTTTCTTGTGCTTGGGGTTTCTTCCAATATTTCACAACTTGTACGGTAAACTCCATCAACCCTGTGCCTCAGTTAGCTTCTCTATTTTTTATTGCAGCCGAATATTTGGGACTTTAGGCTACAATTATCTGTCTCTTTTAGGTTAGTTTTTACATAACCTGAGTTATTATAGTTATTATAGTTACACTCACATTTAAAGGGTTAACTCAGGATTTTTTATGTAAGATGAACCTAAAACATGGTAAACATTAATCATCCCACCTTCAGTAGAAGCTGACAATGCTGTTGGATTCGGTATTAGCTCAAGCTGATAAATCTAAGAGGGCCGAGATGAAAGTGGAAAACAAACTCTTGTGACTTTTAAAGTAATTCTCAGATTTAATGCCTGATATAAAATATATCTGAAAAAGCAAAAATATTATAAAAGTTTAAGTAAAGATTACTTGGTTTACACTATATTGTCTTACTTAGGATTACTGGTGATGCACCAGTTTTGAAAAAAAAAAACCCTCATGTAAACTATCATTGACTGCTCTGTAAATAAAAAAAATAAAAACTCAACAGTTGAAGGGTTCCTCAAATATATTCCAAATAAAATGTTAATATATATATATATATATATATATATATATATATATATATATATGTTTCCAACTCAAACAACCTAAAGTTTCTTAGTATTTTTTGATTTTAAGGAAAAGAGTGAAACGGTTTATAAAGTTGAAGTATAAAATTTTTTCTTCCTTGAAATATGAACTTTTAATGCTTTAAAGTGTGTTCTTTGAAAAAAAAATCCTTAATTGTCCTTTTAAAAAGCGAGAAACCCAGGCTTCAGATGAGTTGCAGCGGTCCGATCATACCTTTGTTTAATCTCTCTCAACAAATTCTAATTAACTTTCAGTACCCATAAATATTTATTTAGTTAATTATTGCCTGTTAGTTAAATTCTTATTTTATGATTTACTGTCTTACATAATTTTGTTTATAACAGATTTTAAACATTTTAGAAATGGTTCTGATCTGTGTTTGGGGCCCATCATCCTCTATGATCCTCTAAGTAAACTCCTGTTGTTATGGAGTATTGAACTCTTGTTGGTAAAGATGATGCCAGCAGAGTGAATGCAAATGACTGTAAAAAGAGCAATTGACTTCAACATCTTTCAGTCAGCTGCCCCTTTCCCTCTGATTTACAATGATCTTTCAAGGCCTCACATGTTCTTATTATATTTTGAGGTGTTTTTTAAGCATTTTAAAGTATTTCTTAAAATTTTCTTTAATTTTAATTTCTTCAGAGGATGCTGTTTGTTTCTTAGCTCTGACCAATAAATCAAAGAGCCATAAAAAGGCTCCTTAACTCAAATCACTGGAGTGATTGTGAAAATTAAAGAGAATGACACCAAATAGGCTGCTGAGGCCTGTTCTCTTTTCAGCAACAACAGTACAAGCCTATCAAAAACAGCAAGATAAAAGCATATGAATCAAAATCCAAATAAAAAAAAAGAATGAACAAAATCATCATCAAATAATATTTGCATGGGGAACATTGGGAGAAACTAATGTCTTAGAGATCCTAAGGAATTGAAACTATACTAATTAGTTTATAATATGGTATAAAGAGAAAAGGGCTGGATGTGTTTAGTCAGTCTCTTTCCATAAGGTAATTATTTCCTAACTACTCCCTATTGCTGTTCAAAGGTTTTCAGTTGGAAACTGTTCATCCTTCAGAAACAACATCCATTTTAAACAGGCTCAACCAGCTTAGTGACAAGCCTACACAGCTGCCATTAAAAAAGGCTTGTAAATACAGGGTTATATTTATTAACCACAGCTAAAGGTCAAATAGTTTCGATTTTCAGATTTTTTAGGTATGAATGAAGAAGAAATAAAACACTAACAAAAATGAAATAAAATGCAGCAGTTATGCGTAGCCATGCTTCGTTCTGCTCGCTGACATTATGTCTCTGAGTGACATACACTGAATATTAAAGGGGTAAAAAACAAACTGCAATTCACTAACAATAAAGATACAAGTTGATTGTATTTCTGTAACTGGATAAAAAAAACAAACAAACTATAAAACAGAAAATAAGGTTTGATGAACAGAAAAGAAAACAGTCTTGAACTGAAACAGAAGAATGATGCATCTATCAGATCCTGTGTCACATGGATTTCTGTCCTGCTTCCTTAAGACATGACTTTTCAAATTCTGCGCAGCCAGAGGTGATTTTTAGGCATGGGACATATTACCGCCCACTTGTTTATGTTCCTTTTGTTATGCAGAGTACAATGCTGAAATTATCAGGTTTAAGGATTAAACTGAATATCCCCTGAATATTAAATCCCCTCTGTTAAACATGGTAGTGGCAGCCTCATGCTGTGGGGCATCTCTTCTGCATAAAACCTGTAGAATTATGAAAGAAGCTGGAAGATCTATGAATATAAATGAAAGCGTTATTTAATATAACACAGACATGTTTGTGTTTTTTAAAACTGCATATAATCTTTTAAATTTTAGCATTTAATTGATATTTCTGACCACATCTCTCACTACGGCTATTTAAAGCTTAGAAAGGTTCTGATTATTCTTAATTTCTGTTTATATATTTTCAACTGATAACTTATAGGAACGTTTGTCTCGAGACCGAAAACAGACAGAGTGAAACCACATCCAGCTGTTGTGGTCATTGATTATTTTATATCAGAAGCTCCGCTCACTCATGATAACAGGCACGTGTATTTCAGCAGGCGTTTGGGTCATAAAGAGGAACTGGCTCCGTAAATAAAATACAGAACAACACATGACCGCAAGGAATTAAATGATGTATTACAGGATGACTCAGGAAAATTTATACTCTTGAAAAATAAAATACCATTGTGCTTTCCATATTACAGCATAGGGTTAATGCACTAAACCTTAGTTAATCTGATGAATCTGTCTGATATGCAAGATCAAAAACATAAATGATGAAAATGATTCATCCAAGACAGTCATCTGCTTTGGAAAAAGTAAAGCTAAAATTTAATATGTTGACATTCTTTGCCCACTTCTCTGACAATAATCTGAGGGAAACCGGTTTGTTAAGGTTGCGAAATCAGCCTTTTCCTTTCTGCTGCTCAGGTGAGGCTCCAACTGTCTTTCAGTCATGGAAAAAATTACTCATCAAATTATTTCTTCCCACATAGACAACAGAAATTTTCTGCAGGCTGGTCCTCATCAAAGGAATGAGTCTACAGAAACTCAACAAATAGCTATAGGCATTAGATGTCGTTAGAGTTAAGTGGGTGTGAAGTAGGGACCATACATGATTTTAAGACTTTGACTTATTTGCAGCTTTAGGGGTTTGTTTTTTTAAAAGAAGAAATGGGTTGTGATTAAAAACTGCTCCAGTATGATAACTTTAGCAGTAGATATAAGGCCCATTTACACTACCCCTCTGAAACCGATCCGTGCCGAGGTCGGACCGAGCTTGGGTCAGTTAACCTTGCCGAGCATGGTTCCTTACCACCGTTTACATATCACGCTAGCGTGGTTCCTCGCCTCCTAGTGACGATCTATGGTACTACAGCTCTCTAGAAGAAAAAAAGCAAACCAACATGGTGGCGCCCTTAACATTCAGGAAGTTTGGTTATAATTGTGATATTTTGTTGTTTGCGGAGAGCCATGCGATGAAAGCAGCCTTTGGTGAATTATTTGACAGAGTCATCTTTTGGGAAGTGGATACGACAAACAAGAGTCTAATCAGGGCTTACAGATGCAGGGAACAACGACAGATGTTGAGTTCATCACACTGCAGAGAATTCATGATAATGGAGCCTGATTGTAAGGAGATGACGCGGTCTAGTCATGCACTCTTTGTTATCTGAGAACTGAGCCAGAACTGAACCACGCTGAGCCCTAATAATAACCTAGTATCATGTTAGCGCGGTTTGGTTGTGTCCGGTGCGGTCCGGTTCTGTTGGGCGTGCTATTTACACCCAACAGTTATCTCCGTTACCATACTCAGACCGATCTCGGCATGATTTCAAAAAAGTATTGTAAATGGGGCTATAATGTTTGCCTTCTCCTTTTGTTTATTTAACCAGCCACACATTGCAACAACATCCAACCATTATTATGTGCTCTACACTATCCAGACAGACATTTTTATCCTAATCATTTTCCATAGCTATGATGTTGGGTTTCCTCACCCACATGCAAAGTTACGTGGGTAACCCGTGAATTTTTTATTTTTTTTTAAACGATTCTTGATTTACAAAACATGAATCTGGAAGTGGAGAACTGCCGGATGCCGGTAGAACTTTTTGGTTGGAGAAAACAGGCTGATCAGGAAGGAGTTGGTTGATGACAACTGATTGATTTCCCTACTTAGAAATGTAGGGGGGCTAGCCAGGATCTTTAGGAGTTTGATTCAGCTGGCTTTGAAAACTGGACCCCAGTGGTCCACGAGAATGTGAGCGAGATCCAAGAGCGTTGGTACCTCCAAGAGACGTCAAGCTGTAGAGCAGGAAAGCAGATGATGAAGACTGAGTTTCACTGGTTGACTGGAGCAATAAGAAAGTCTCATTAAAAAAATTCACAGGAGACACTTCAACTAGGAAGATATTC